TGATTAATTTCTTTCTATTTTTAGTAGAGACGGGGTCTCGCTCTTGCTCAGGCTGGTTTCGAACTCCTGAGCTTAAACAATCCGCCTGCCTCGGCCTCCCAGAGTGCTAGGATTACAGGCATGAGCCACCGCGCCCGGCCTTATTTATTTATTTTTGAGATAGGGTTCTCTCTTTGTTGCCCAGGCTGGAGTGCAATAGCACATGATCATAACTCACTGCAGCCTGGAACTCTTGGGCTCAAGCAATCCTCTTCTTTCAGCCTCTGGAGTAGCTGGGACTATAGTTGCATGCTACCACACCCAGCTAATTAAAAAAAAAATTTTTTTTAAGACACAGGTCTGCCTTTAAATTCATGTATGTAGGGGATAATTTTAACTTTATATCACATGTCTGAACTGGGTAACATTTCTAAACCATAAAATAAAGCTAAACCTAAAAACAGGGCATACCTAAAAATCTGTGTAAAATCTCAGGTATTATTTTATTTGTGTTTGATTGTATGTTAAATTAAGATTTTTGTTTTGACCTTTAGTTGTTAATACAGTGATTTTATATTAATTGAAATAGTTATTATGACATTTACTATATCTATCACAATTTGTTTGATTTTTGAAAGTAGAGTTACCTATAGAAGGGTATTTTAATAAAAGAAAGATTGAGAGAGAGTATCGAACCCTACATAAGACCCTTTCTTAAAATTTAATAACTATTTTCTCATTCACACATACATTCAATAAATACATTTACTGAATGCTAACAGTATACCAGACACCATTCTAGAGACTTTGGAATATAACAATGAACAAATGGATACAGAAATCCTATTTGCTATTTTTATGAAAAAATGGTTACAAGAGTCCCAAATTCTGCTTTCAAGAAGTATATTATGGTATATTGAATGTAATAAATAGCCCATTCCCCTCCGCTGCTCAGCATAACTTACAATTCTTCCAGATTTCTTTAATCTATTATTAGGTACTATACTATGCTGTTATAAAACATTTATTTCACTCCACAGGTAAAAGTAATTCAGCCCAGTAAAGAAGTTAAAATATGGTGTGGCATAGGAAAATGAACAAGTGCTTTGTAGAGAAGTCTGAGAGCCATTTTTTTGTGTGTCAGTATAGTTCATAGCACTAAGCCTCAAAACCTTAAATCATCTTTAGTTTCTTCTTCTTTCCAAATTTCATTAATTTTTAAAACTTACTGATGTAATTATGTTAGTATTTTTCCCTTCAGACCTTCTTTCTCTGCTTTCTCCATCTGCCTGATTAATTTGCAGATTTTTCATACTGACACAGTGGAGATTTCTTCTCCAATCCATTTTACATGTTATAACACATTCATCTTCTGACTATACAATTATGAACTTAAAATTGCACTACTCATAAATCTTTGAATTTTCATTACAGACAGAATGAAAGTTAAACTCTGGACTTGGGTTCAAAGCCTTTAAGGATCTTGTGCTGACCAGTCTTTACTCTTACTATTCCTAGTAATAATTCCTAAGAATAGGAATTATTTTTATTCTGGTACTTTCACTGTGGCCAACTGAACTGCTTGCTATTTCCCATACATGCCCTTTTTTTCCCTTTAGTACCTTGTTATCCTTATGTTCTTACTCTACAAATACTATATATCCCACTTCTTTTCTACCCATATCTTCCTGTTTATGTGTTGAATGAATGAACTCTTAGAGAGCCAGGTAATGTACTACTTCCTCCATCAAAAGTGCCAGAGAATTTTAACTGTATGACTTTTTTTTTGTATTGTTGCTGTCTACATTTAAGTTTTAATAGTTTTGGACTTGTGAAAAACTGTTGTGAAAAAAGTTCTGTATTCATCAATTTCTTTTCTCTATTTGTAAAAAGAACATTTTTATTAAATGAGCTTATAATGGTAAGGTTAGGGTGTTAAGGTTGGAATGGATGGGTTTGCTGTTAGAAAATTCTTTGTTAAGTGAATACTAAATAATTATATTTAATGTTTAATGAGCACTAACTGTGTGCTCTGTACTATGCCAGCCACTTTGCAGGCATACTTTGATCTTCGGCAACTCTTTGAAGTAGGTACTTTTACTCCCTTTTTACACGTGGAGGGAAAATTTGAGAGGTTAAATGATTTGCCTAAGCAAGTATGTGGCAGAACTGGGATTCAATTTCAGGATTTTTGATTCCGAGGCCCATGTTTTGGAAAAATTAGAATAAAACTAAGTATAGATATATAGAGAGAATGAGGATTTTGAGATACAGAAGTACAGAATAGCACAAAACCCTAAAACTCTTTGTAAGGAGATTAAGTTGTAAGTGAATACTGGTTAAGAGAGGTAAACACTTAGGGTAACAAATAGATTTTTTTTTTTTTTCTGTAGAGACAGGGTCTCACTCTGTTGCTTGGGCTGGAGTGCAGTGGTGCCACCATTGCTCACTGTAACCTCAAACTCCTGGACTGCACTGACCCCTGCCTCAGCCTCCTGAGTAGCTAGGATTATAAGCTTTTGCCACCATGCCCAGCTAATTTTTCTGTTTTTGTAGAGACGAGGTCTTGCTATTTTGCCCAGGCTGGTCTCAAACTCTTGGCTTCAAGCAATCTTCCTGCCTCGGCCTCCCAAAGTGCTGGGATTACAGGCGTGAGCCACTGTGCCCGGCAAGAATTTTCATATAGGTATTTAGAAGGGTTTCTAGAATGAAAACAAAGACAAATTGGCTGTTAAAAATGCCTTATATGGAAAAACGAATAAGATTGGTGGATTGTATCAGTGTTAGTATCTTGGTTGTCACATCATACTGTAGTTTTACAAAATGTGATCATTGTGGGAAACCAGGCAAAGTGTTCAAGGGATCTCCCTATATTATTTTTTATAACCATATATAAATCTACAGTTATCTGTTTCAATTAGAAAACTACCTTGAAACTAACAGACTTGAGCTAAAATATGGACCTAAACTGATGAACCGTACCTTTTTCCTCTGAGTCCCAAATGATCCATTTAAACAAAAAGAAAAAATACAGAGAATCAGCTTGAGGTGGATCAATATTTTTCTTAAAGTATTAATAAACCAGAGAATAATTGTAATATTAAAATGTGTTCTGAATCAAGCCAATTTTTTCTTGATTGGCATTTTACCTCTTCCCTGATGTAACTTTTCCTACTTCACTTTGGCTCCCTGGGCTCTTTCACTGCTTTTTTTGTTTATATTTCCTAAGACACTGCTCTGTCAAGGGCTTGTAAGTATGTGGCATGTGTACTGCTTTTTTTCATGGCAGATACCATTACTAGATCGTTGCATTCTTTGTCCAGAGGAGACCTTAGAATCTATCTCATCTCAGTGCTATAGGCAGTCACTGCCAATATTGAGAGTTGGCACTCAGGTTGAAACCTGTAATCTGTGGCTTAGTTCAGTAGAGACTCTTTGTTTGCAAATGTCAGAAAGCCAACATAAACAAGGTTAAGCAAAAATTCCATGCATTGACTTTTTTAACCCGGAAGGCTGGAATGGATTCAAGGACCAAATGGATGTCATCAGAACTTCGTTTCACTTATTTCTCTCATTTCTGCTTATCTCTGCTTAGCTTCAGTTTCTTAAGTTCCTGCTGTAAACTTTCTCCCCATCGTTGGGAAGGAAGACATCAGTGGTCCCGGGCCTATCAATTCAGTTTAGAAAGCTAGTAGAAAAAATTTCTTTTTTCCAGTATTAGCATATTAATTTCAGGGAAGGTTTTGCTTTTGTCACATGCTTGTCTTTGAATAAATCAATGTGTTTATTTATTTATTTTTGAGACAGGGTCTTGCTCTATTGCCCTGGCTCAAGTGCAGTGGCATCATCATAGTTCACTGGAACCTCAAACTCCTGGGCTCAAGCAATCCTCTTGCCTCATCCTTCCGAGTAGCTGGGACTACAGGCATGTGCCACTATGACCACCTAATTTTTTAAAAATGTTTTTTGTAGAGATGGGGTCTCACTATGTTGCTCAGGGTGGTCTCAACTCCTGGCCTCAAGTAATCTTCCTGCCTTGGCCTCCCAAAGTGCTAGGATTACAGGCCTGAGCCAGCACACCCAGCCTAATATTTTACATATTTATGTGGTACATGTGATAATTTGATACAAGCATACAGTGTGTAATGATCAAATCAGGGTAATTGGGATATCCATCACCTCAAGCATTTGTCATTTCTTCATGTTCTACTCTTTTAGTTATTTTGAAATATACCATAAATTATTGTTAGCTATAGTCATTCTACTCTATCGAACATTAGAACTTATACCTTCTATCTAACTGTACGTTTATACCCATTGACCAACAATCTCTCTTCGTTCTCCTCCTCCCACACACCCTCTCAGCCTCTGGCATGTATCTATTATTCTGTCTTCTACCTCTATGACATCAACTTTTTTAGCTTACACATATGAATGAGAACATGTAAAATTTGTCTTCCCACACAGTTGTTTTATTAATTTCCTTCTATTGGTTAGGTATTTAAAATCGCTGTATATCAGAAATTGTCTTTAGACTCACTGCCTGATTAAATTCTGGACTTTTAGATCATGTTTATTTTCTTGTCTTTAGTATAGTGCAGTAGTTTGTGGTGTGTTCTTTATCAGCAGGGAGATCTTTAAGCCTCAGTGCCCTCATCTGTAAAATGGGGATAATATTAGTACCTGCCTCATGGGGCTGTTGTGAGGTTTACATGAGGTAATGTAACATTTATTAAGTATTTAATAAATATTTTAAAAAATAATACATTCCTGATCAATAGGTAACTACT